TTCCAGTAGAATCTGTACATGGATCTTAAGAAAGGAACATCAAAGTAAGAAGACTTAATGCTTCACCTGATAAGAAACTGAGGTCAAATAAGTCTACAGCAGTGATAGAAAGCTATCAGACCTAAATCAGCTTCAGATTAGTAAAAAAATTCTTATCAGATTAAAAAAAAAACAACTTTCAACTGAAATGTCATAAAACTATTTTTAGTAGTTAGTAGTTATTTTAAAGGGCTGGAAGATGTGATGGGCAATTCTGAACCTCTCACAGAGGTACGTGTTCACCAGCATACCTCCCAGCAGGTGCAAAAGCAATGAGATGTATCACAGAAGCATTGCTGCGGGCAGTACATTCTGCCATGTTCTAGGACCTTATTTCTTTTAAGCCTGACCTAATTCAAATTTTCTCTTCACTCCTAAGCCTCTGAGTTCATGTTAATTTTCAGTTGCACATAGTGAAGCATTCTGCTCCCAAAAAGAATGAACATACTCAAGATTAACTGAAAGACTTTAATTGAAAATCTTTTTTGAAAAAATGTTAATACTTGGCAAAAATTGCCCTTTATAGCATTTCTAAAACTATGATCATTCAAATTTGAGTACATTTTTGAAACAGAAATGTTTGTAACAGTAGAACAAGATAAAATCCTAACATTAATCATTACACTAAGAAAGGGCTCAGAAGGTAAAGAATCCACCTACAAGCAGGAGACCCAGGTTCGATCCCTGGGACGGGCAGATCCCCTGGAGAACGGAATGGCAACCCACTCCACTGTTCTTGCCTGAAGAATTCCATGGACAGAGGAGGCTGGTGGGCTACAGTCCATGGACTCACAAAGAGTCGGCACGACTAAGCAAGTCACACACACACAAGATAAGCGGGGTGTAAAGAAAAGAACCGCAGCAACTGAAACAGGACCTCGGTGCAGGATCCCAAGCCTGACTCTAGTTGCACGACTTTAGGAACTGGCTTCGCCGGGAAATACTTTCTCGTTTGAAGGGTGTCATCACCTTTTCCCCCCTCCAGATGGCTGCTCAGATAAAATGAGATAATGGACCTGACACAGCACCTACCACGGAGGGCTCAACAAATACTAGCTTCCTTCGTTTAACAGAAAAGACATGCTCCCGAGAAGATTTAGGTGTGAGGCTGTCTACACTCGCACAAGTCTTCACCAGCACAAAACACGGCAGCTGGCTGGTTCCAGTGAAAAGCCAGAACCCCTTTCCACGAACGTTTCTGAGGACACACTGGATGAGGAGAGAGCCTGCATGTGACCCTGGAGGGCGCCATTAGAACAGAGCTGCACACACACACACGACGACCACTAAAATTTCCAGGAATTGAGGTTCAAACGTCTGGAGCCTTTAACGCTGGTAGGAGAGCTCAGGCCGCGCGGAGAAAAAGCAAGTCAGATTGGGCCCAGCTCCGGATGACTACTCTAATGAAACAGGAGCGCGACGCGGGCTCATCCTACTGAGGCGCTAGCAGCGCGGCACTAAAACCCGTTTCGATCCTGAAAAGAATCCACCACGAACGCCCGCTCGCAAGCCTGCGTAGGAGAGACCCCGGCGTCGCGGAGGGCACCTCACGAAGGCCGCAGGCTACGGGAGGAAAAGACCAAGGGATGAGGTCGGGGCTGTGCACACCCGCCGCGGCGAGCGTCCGAAGGAATTCGCGTCCGCGCTGAGTGCACCCGGGCGGAGGGGGCGCCTCGGGGGCCCAGCCCCCGCCCCCCGCCCGAGTCCCCCATGGCGCGCAGACGGCAGCGCTGCCCGGGGGGCCGCGGCGCGGNAGCCGGGCGCTGGGGACTCGGACGTCGTACCCGAAGGCCGCGCCGAGCTGGGAAGGCGGACCCAGCCACATCCAGCCGAGCGCTCGGACCTGGCCTTTGCGCGTGCGCGGTCCACAGGAATGTGAAAAGGCCTCGACTCCCGGATAGAAACCGGAAGAGGGACCGAGACCGAGAAAGACATTTGCATCCTGAGAAAGTGTGAAACCCAGAGGTGGAGGGCAAGGGGAGAGACCGGGACGGGCGGGGCCCGCTGGTCGGACACAGGCTCATTCAACGGGTGTTCCTTATCGTGATCCTGCAGGTCCAGGCTCCCCTAAGTTACCTTTCAGCGGAGAGAGACGTGGATGGACAAGAGGGATGAGTCGCAAGGAAGACTGAGCGGAACACTCCAGTCGTGATGGTTTTATGAAAAAATATGAAGCAGAGTAAGAGGTTCGGGCAACCTAGACAGCATATTAAAAAGCAGAGACATCACTTTGCCAGCAAAGGTCCGTCTAGTCAAGGCCATGGTTTTTCCAGTGGTCATGTATGGATGTGCGAGTTGGACTATAAAGAAAGCTGAGCGCCAAAGAATTGATGCTTTTGAACTGTGGTGTTGGAGAAGACTCTTGAGAGTCCCTTGGACTGCAAGGAGATCCAACCAGTCCATCCTAAAAGAAATCAGTCCTGAATGTTCATTGGAAGGACTGATGCTGAAGCTGAAACTCCAGTACTTTGGCCACATGATGCGAAGAGCTGACTTATTTGAACAGACCCTGATGCTGGGAGGGATTGGGGGCAGGAGGAGAAGGGGACAACAGAGGATGAGATGTTTGGATGGCCTAATGGACGCAATGGACATGAGTTTGAGTAAACTCCGGGAGTTGGTGATGGACAGGGAGGCCTGGCTTGCTGCAGTCCATGGGGTTGCAAAGAGTGGGACACGGCTGAGCGACTGAACTCAACTGAAAGAGGTTCGGGAGTAGGGCATTGAAACACTGAGAATGACATTAAGATTCAGAGACTCGAGACCCAGATCGACATGGAAAGAACCTCAGACATAGGACATGCTGCAATAAAAACGCAAAGATGAAACACTGAAAACCAGAGCAGCAAGCTCTCGAGAGAAGGAGACGAACATGCTGAGGCTCAGAGATAGTCACAGACACCACAGGTTGAAAAATAAGAGTCAACTCTGGAAGCAAGAGAACACCAAGAACAGCTAAGACGATGAGAGAAAACTCATCTCCCCACTGTTTCTGGACCTCCATCCATGCCCTCTTTGGAGGGGACTCAGAGTGGGAGACCCTGCATCCTGATTGTCCATCACTGTAGTCTTGAAAGCCTGGACTTCCAGGCATCAACAAAGACCAACTAGACAGTCTCCAAGCAAAAAAATAAATGAACCCTCTAGGGGGAAAAAAGTGTGGCACATGAGAAAAGAGAGTCCTGGAGCCAAAAATCACTCCTTTGCAATAAATATATTTAGCCCATGAAGCAGAACCCAATTTTAGAAAGCACCTAATTCTTATTCTTGATTAAAAAGAGGACATTGCTTCTTTTAAAGAACAGGCCAGGATAAATGGAGAGTAGCCTGAAATTAAAATCACGATAGCCAAAGTAAAAGCTGTGGTCAGAGCAGTAAAAAGCAGATGGAATGACGCAGAAGAGCCAATCAGCAACATAGAAGACAACTATGAGGAAAAGTAAGTGATGAAGTTCCTGGAGAAGAAAACGTACAGAACACCACAGAGAGTCGAGCTATAGGCACCCCGGAAAAAGACAGCAAATCCATTAGAGGTGACAAATTATACCGAAAGAAATTTTGCCTTCGGTCTAAAAAGATCTGGGGTGGAGGGGGGGAACTGAGTGAGTTCTCTGAATCCAGAAAAATAAGCTGAAACCAACTTCAAGAAATAATCTGGAGGGGCTTCCCTGGTGGCTCAGTGGTTAAAAAAAAAAATGCCCAATGCAGAAGACACTCCTGTCCCATGTCCGGGAAGATCCCACAAGCTGTGGAGCAACTGAACGCACATGCAGCAACTCCTGAAGCCCGTAGAGCCTGCTCTGCGACAAGAGAAGCGCTGCAATGAGAAGCCTGCACACGGCCAGGAAGAGTGACACCCATTCTCAGCACTTAGAGAAAAACCCACACAGCAAGAAGACCCAGCACAACCGAAAATAATTAATTTGAAAAAATAATAATCTGGAAAAGTCCTGAAGTTTCAGGGTAGAAAAACACAGGATTTGATCATTTTTTTAAAAAAAGAAAGACTATTTGAAAAGCTGAAAGTTGGGCCTTCCCTAGTGGTCCAGTGGTTAAGAATCCACCTTCTAATGCAGGGGATGCAGGTTTGATCCCTGGCTGGGAAACTGAGATCCTGTATGTTTCAAAGCTCAGCCAAAAAATCAAAAAATAAAAAGCTGAAAGCTGGTTTTCTGCAGATGCAGAAATAATAAAATGTAATAGTAAAATGCCAAAGAAAAATGGGAACAAGTTGGCAGCCGTCTGAGAGGGTACAGGTGCTTCGGCTCCACGTTTTCCAAAGGAGCCCTGCACTCAGAGGGCAAGATAGAGCTTGAACCTCGGCTTTTCTGCTTACTACCTGTATGACTTTGGCCTCAATTTCCCCACTCTTAAAACAGACCACAACAGCACTTACCTCCTGATTGTACAGAATCAGACAACAGGTGTAAAGCTCCGGGCACCTAGTGCACACTCAGGAAATGTTACCTCTGATTACTGTCGACCCCACCCAGACCTGTTCCTCATCTCGGGCTTCTGGATCCTATCACCACCCAGATCCTCCAGCTGAGGTCTGGGGATGATCCCGACAGTTAATTTTACCTTACTCCCAACCTCTCCCTGCATCTGACCCATCGAAAACTCCTATACATTCTATTTTTCCAGTATTTTGGAAATCGCTGCTACTCAAAGTGTGGCCTTGGGACCAGCGACATCAGCATCAGGTGGGGGTCTGTTCGGAACACAACATCCTGGGCCCCACCCCAGACCTACTGACTCAGGATCTGCATTTTAACAAGATCCCTAGTGGTTTCGTATGCATTTGAAACTTTTGAAAAGCACTGTTTTGTTTTCTTTTTAGCTGAGATGTAAGTGATATATAACAGCACCTGCCGTCTGCCCCGCTTTTGCCCGCCCCCACCATGCTCCAGACAGACTAGACAGTTCTCAGCTCTTTTCTGCCCTTCAACCTTGCCACGTACCTCTCTCTCTGCAGGTGATGTGCCGTCTCTTCATTCTTCTAGCATCTGTGGGCATTTTAAAGTCACTGACTTTCTCCAGAGAACTTCTCTTGCCTGATTCTGCGGTTGCTAAGCAACCCTGTGATGAGAGTCTGGCGTCCCTTGTGGTCTTAGACAGGGAAAGTGCACTGACCAGGGGGTAGCCCTGCTCAGGTCCGTTAGCAACTGCCGTTCCCTCTAACATGGGGCTTAGATGCACATCAGCCTCTGCTGAGTCAGGCTAGCCTGAGCCAGGCCCGGGGGGTTGAGGGGGGGTGGAGAATCATCTAGCTAGACTGACAACAACAAATTTCCAGAAGCACAGAGCTGAGAACCTGAGAACATGGCTCTGGAGCATCAGGAGACCATGTAAGCCGCCATCCAACCCTAAGTGAAAGTCGCTCAGTCGTGTCCGACTCTTTGCGACCCCATGGACTATACATACAGTCCATGGACCTCTCCAGGCCAGAATACTGGAGTGGGTAGCTGTTTCCTTCTTCCGGAGATCTTCCCAACCCAGGGATCAAACCCAGGTTTCCCACGTCGCAGGCGGATTCTTTACCAGCTGAGCCACCAGGGAAACCCAAGACCTAAGACCCTGCTAGACAGCTAGCTGGCCCCTTCTCTGTCTTCCTCGGCGTCCCTCTGGAGCGCTGACAGTGCCCGGGCCTGTGGAATCTTAGAAGACACGTGGACGTCTGTCGTTTTCTGCCTGCCCAACATTGACCCTTCTCCTTCTGGTAGCAACAATCCAGTTTGTTTTTGCGGGGGTGAACTCTCTCTTCTACACACTTAGAGCATTTGGCCCTACCTCCCCCCCCACCCCAAGGCAGGAATAAGCATGTGACCCAGGGCTTCCCAATCAGAGTCACAGATGTTGGTTCAAAAGATGAGCATGAGACCTGATCCAGGCCAATGACACTCAGCCCAGACTTCTGCAGAAACAAAACTGAGAAAGGGGTACTTCCCTTCTGCCAAGGTTGCCAGAGCAGGGGGCATGGGACTGGGGCCAAACATATCATAATGTGAGAACTGCCCTCTAGGATAAAGCTGAGATGGGGGAGCAGGGTCCAGGGACAGAGACAATTTCCTGACGACACAGTCTGACGATTCAGCCGAGGCTGGACTTCACAAGTGCGTGAGACAATATTATATTCTCTTTTTTAACTGAAGTCGATTTGAGGTAGGGTTTTGTCACTTGAAACCACAAGAGTCTGTGACTAATACATGACCCAACTAACTCCCTTTTCTGCAAAAATTGCTCAGAATCATACAATAAATCACTGGGGCATGAATCAGAAACTCATGAATGATGAAATGAGAGAAAAGAACTGGCAGTGAGCCTTGAGACTAGCTAAAGATGGAGAGATAACTGAATAAAAACACCACTCAGTAGAGACTGAGGCCGACAAGCTGAAGTAATTGTTGTTGCTGTGGTAACAAACCATGCAAAAGGGAAAAATTGAGAAAGAGGAGTTTTTTAAACCGGGGTTTTAACCTCAGATTAATGCAATGAAAACCAGAGAGGAAGAAAGAGGGTAGGAAAAGCAAGGTACTAAGCCTTTGTTTTACATAAAATGAAGAAAAGAGATATTGTGAAAAATTGTATAATTTCATTTTTTTCAGTGTAAAAAGTTTTATGTCTACCTTATAAATTAATTTGTTGTTGTTCAGTCACTGAGTCCTGACTCCTCTGTCCTCCACTATCTCCCGGAGTTTGCTCAAGTTCGTGTTTATTGAGTCAGTGATGCTATCTAACCATCTCATCTTCTGCCACCCCCTTCTCCTTTTGCCTTCAGTCTTCCCCAGCAAAAGGGTCTTTTCCAATGAGATAGCTCTCCGTGTCAAGTTACAAGAGATAAAAGGAAGGTAATTCATACAACAAAACTCGAGACCTGTAACCAGAAGTGTACTAGACACTTTCCTCACATTGTAATCAGAAAAGAAATGGCAAGGAATCATTAAAGAAAATCAAAATACTAGAAAATTAGATGACGGAAAGTTAAGAGAAATGTAAATAAATAAGAAACCTAAATAGCTAAAACCCCTGTATAAAAATATGAAAATCTCAAAGGGCAAACTCTGAATATTTACTGTTGTTAGCAAAGATGTGCCAAAAGAGAAGACAGATATAGGATATTAACCCATGCGTTTGGGATCTAGAAAGACTGAAAACCGTGTGTGCAGGGCAGCGATGGCGACCCAGACATAGAGAACAGAGTGTGGACACAGTGGGAGAAGGGGGAACGAACAGAGACGATAGCATGGAAACATATTCATTACCATATGCAAAAGAGACAGCAAGTGGGGGTTTGCCGTGTGGCACAGAAGCTCAACCCGGGGCTCTGTGACAACGTAGATGGGTGGGGTGGGGTGGGGAGGGAGGGGGGTCCACGTGGGAGGGACACGTGTATACCTGTGGCTGATTCATGCTGAGGCATGGCAGAAACCGGCACAGTATGGTAAAGCGATTATCCTCCAATAAAAAAGCAAAGACGTGCCAAAAAACACACAGGCTGAAAAGTCACACAGCAGCACAAAACAGGAGACAGATAATCTTTGGAAATACAACTAATAGATACACAGCTACAGTAAAATATGTTACAGTAAAATACATTAGACTGTGACATATAAAATAAGGATAAATATAAGCGAAGCAGCACAATAATAAGGCATAAAAGTATACACTGAGTCCCACACCTACATAAAATATAAAAGGTATCTTGCCACAAAAAGGTCTTTTGTTTGTTTGATTGACTTTTTTGGCCACGAGGCACGTGGGATCTCAGTTCCCAGATCAGGAATCTCGCTGGCAGCCTCTGCAGTAGAACCCAGAGTCTCAACCACAGAGCCATGAGGTAAGGCCTGAGTGGCAAATTTTCTGTTATATATATTTTACCACCAAAAAATCAATTGGCTACACTTGTGATAGTTGATTTCTGGAGTCTCTAGGTCCATCGATCTATGTGTTTACCCCTGTGACAGTATCAGGGTATTAATTCAAAATTTGTTTTTTTGGCCATGCCATGCAGCCTGTAGTTCCCCAATCAGGGATCAAACTCACTGCCCCTGCACTGGAAGCTTGGAGTGTCCACCAACGGACCACTGGGGAAGTCCCCCAGACTGTCTTAATTATTCCAGCTATAAAGGAAGTCTTAACATCAGATACTGGGAGTCTTCTAACTTTATTCATGTTTTTCTAAACTGTTTGAAATACTATATTTCTTTTGACTCCCAGTATCAATCTTGGTCATAGTTTTTCTTCCAAGGAGCAAGGGTCTTTTAGTTTCATGGCTGCAGTCACCATCTGCAGTGATTCTGGAACTATAACCAACCTAGACAGCATATTAAAAAGCAGAGACATTGCTTTGCCAACAAAGGTCCACCTAGTCAAAGCTATGGTTTTTCCAGTAGTCATGTATGGATGTGAGAGTTGGATGCTGCAGTCCACGGGGTCGCAAAGAGTGGGACACGACAGCGACTGAACTGAACTGGTCAATTTCAGACTGTGGTGCTGGAGAAGACTCTTGAGGGTCCCTTAGACTGCAAGGAGATCAAACCAGTCATTCCTAAAGGAAATCAGTCCTGAATATTCATTGGAGAGACTGGTGATAAGCTTCCAAACAATTTCTTTCAATTTTTATTTTTTTTAAGACTTGCCATGTAGCCTGACCCCTGAGCAGAAGGGGTTATGATCAGATGGCAGAACTTCCACACAGGAGGGGAGTGACCGCCCACATGGTCATTTAGGGCCAAGAACAGGAGTCCAGCTCTGTCCCCCGTTCCTGCAGAAAAAGGCACCCAGTGGTCCACACACACATCATCTGCTCGTTCTCTCTGGTAATCAAGGAAATGCAAACGGAAACCACACCTGCCAAATGCAGGAGACCTAAGAGATGTGAGTTCAATCCCTGGGTCAGGAAGGTCCCCTGGAGGAGGGCATGGCAACCCACTCCAGCATTCTTGCCTGGAGGATGCTATGGACAGAGGAACCTGGTGGGCTATACGTAGTCCATGGGGGTCGCTAAGAGTCAGACATGACTGCAGTGACAGCACGCATGCAACCAAGGAAATGCAACAAAACCACAAAGAGATGCCATGATACACGTTATGTTGGGCTGTGCTCGGCTGAGTCCGACTCTCTGTGACCCCACGGGCTGTAGTCTGCCAGGTTCCCGTGTCCATGGAATTTCCCAGGCAAGAATACTGGGGTGGGTAGCCATCACCTACACCAAGGGTTTATGCTCGTTACGTTGATGGAATTGGAGTCTGACGGAGCCAAGTGCAGGTGAGGATGGGGAACATGGACACGCCCTGTGTACCAGGGGCCGCCACACGGCACAGGCCCTGCGCGTAGCCCTCGGTGAGGGTGAAGATGCGTCCTGCACCCAAGTGGTCACCCAGCCCACCCCCGGTACAGGGCTCTGCAACTGCCGTGTTGAGACGCCTAATAATTTATCCCAGGGCCCCATGTTTTGCTCTGTTATCAGGTCCTGCAAATTCTGTAGCCAGTCCCGCCTGGAGGTTTCACTCCGTGGTACGTGGGCACCAGGACACAGACAGAGGATGTTCATAGCAGCTCCGTTTCTGCAAGACGCCAGAGCTCCCTGCCCCCAGCATGGATGAGTCCCAGAAGGAGGCCCCTGAGTAACAAGGACAGGGAACAGAAGAATGCAGCCAGCAGGCCCCCGACCCCGTCAGAGAGACAAGCAGGATGAACGGACGGCATCAGGAGACGCACGTGCGGGCAAGTCCACACAGAAATACTTTCCAGCACGAGTGAGGCTGGGCAAGGCTGCTCCCAGGTTGGTTGATGGACCCATAGTTACTATCTATTATGTCTGATCTATGATTTTGCTTCTCCGTGCGTCTATGTCAAACGCTTGATGGAAGAACCGGCCCAGGCTGGGAGAGGCGGCCGTGACAGGCGGCCGTCCTTGGCGGGGACGGCAGGCTGGACATGAGAGGCAGCTGCCTAGGACCAGCTTCATCCGTGAGGCCCCGGTCACACAGAAGACGGAACCACACAGAGGACATCAAGAGGACCGAGCTGCAGCCTGTGTTTGTAAGATATGTCCACGCAGTTCCGACTCTAAAATCTGCAACTCGTGCATGTAATCTGTTTCATTTCAGCAACTTTCTATTGCTTGCCTTTCTGGGCAAAAAGGTGACCTTCATTTCTAGAGGCTCTTTTTATGGTTTCATTTCTAAACATCTACTTTGGTTGTTTTGTTCCACACCCAAAATCAAAGTCTTGTTTTCCCTCTTCTCTTTTCCAAGTTCTGTCTTTCCTGTCTTGTTACTTTCATAATTTAGAAGCGGAGGTGGAGGGGAGGAGGGGAGGAGGGGGATGAGGCAGGTGCCCCAGTCGAGCTGTGAGCAGCGGTGGGGACAGTGGTCTCAGGAGTGGCCTCCTGGGCCCCGGCCTAGCAGCTGGCAGGACCCCTGCCAGGGCTGATTGGCCCCCAGGAGTCTGCGTGCACCCCTTGGCCCTGGGCACCCAGATATCCAGGCCGAGCCCCTCGGAAGCAGAGCTGGGTTGAAGTGCAGCCTCATGGGTGGGGCTGGCTGAGGGTCTGTCCTGACTGGTCCAGAACCAGGGTGGGTAGCTGGGGGTCCCAAACCCTCTGAAGGAACCTGGGGGGCTGGCTTCCTGCCTGTCTCCCTGGCTCTGGGGGCTATCAGCAGCTCCCCCAGGCTGGACCCTGACCTGGTGGGCACAAGACCCAGTGTCTGCTCCCTGCCGGCTCCCAGCTCTGTGAGTGTGTGTGTGTCTGCGTGCGGGTGTGCACGCATCCCCCATCTGCCCGCAGCCCAGCTTCAGACACGTGAGGCCGCTCACGAGGGAACCGTCAAGACAGCCTATGCTTAAGGAGGAGGCTGCCAGCACTTTCTGCCGGGAGCCAGGAGGCGGAGGGGGCGGGCAGGGCGAGACAGATGGCTGAGTGGGTGGGCTGCTTGGGAGCCCCAGCCTCCATTGGTGGCGGGGGGTGGGGGAGGAGACAGACCCAGCTGCCTCCCTTGCTGGGAGGGGTTCGGTTCGGAAGGTGGGAGACCACTGCCCCGGGCCATGGAGCTGGAGGGGTGGGGGGTGGGCACCGGGAGCCCAGGGCCGACCTGGGGGTGCCCGGCATGGCCCACTGTGAGGGCTGGTAAAGGCGTGGCGTGGAGGCGGCTGGGTCACAGCTGTCCCTGGGGGGATGGCGGGCCGGACTCCCTGCAAAGCACCAGCACCACCCTCCCACCCCAGCTTGAGCTGCTCAGGCGGCACTGCGGGGCCCTGGCTCTGAGCGCCCTGCATGTGGGCAACTTGGATGCTTCCCATGTTCCCGAGAGCTGAGCTCAGAGCACAGGGGACCTCCCGTCTGAGTGCGAGAGCAGAGGGTCTCCAGCCTTGCGCTCCCCAGGGGCCTGCCCCAAGCCCCCTCCCAGGACCCAAGGGACGGTTCTCCTGCTGCTGGGGCCCATGGGCTTGTGGATGGGAACCAGGCTGGCTGGTGGCTGGCGGGGTTCTCCCGAATGGTCTGCTCACTTCACAGGATCGCTGGACGGCCCGTTGAGCGTGTGTGCTCAGTCGTGCCCAACTCTCTGCGGCCCCGTGTGGTCTGTCAGGCCCCTCTGTCCATGGGATTCTCCAGGCAAGAATCCTGGGGTGGGCTGCCATTTTCTCCTCCAGGGGACCTTCCCGACGCAGGGATGGAACCCAAGTCCATCAGCAGCTTCCAAAACCACATCCTGGCGGCCAGGGGGGCAGGGGGCGAGGCGGCTGAGGAAGGCAGGGCGCTGGGCTCAGTGGAGGGGTTCAGAGCTTGCGCTTTATTGACACGAGCATGGGGGGCCCAGGACTTGTCCCTCGGATGGGGAAACCGCCACCCGGTCTGGAGCAAACCCCTTCACATGGAACACCACTTCTGGGAAGCCCACCAAGATACACACAGATAAAGCCCTGGCAAGGCTGCAGGCATGTCTGGCGAAGCCGTGGAGCCTTGGTGGAAGAGCACAGGCCTCCGGGGGTGCCCCCAGAGCTGCAGCCGGAAGCAGAGCCAACAGCTCATCCCGCACAGGCCCACCTGATCCGGCTGGCTCGGGGCCGGGCCGGGCCCAGGAGCGGCGGAGCTGCCCACCCTCCCTGGGAATACTGCGGAAGTGGCCAGGACACCCGAGTCCACGGTGGAGCTCCGGCTGCGGGCCAAGGGTGACGGGGGCCGAGCACTGGCCTGGGAGGGCAGGGGGCACTGGCAGCCGACTCAGGGCCCCAGACTGACAACCTGCGCCTCCCCCGTGGGGCCTGCACCCTGCCGCTCTCCCAGGCCTGGAGGCTGAGGGTGAGCTGCGTCGGGGGGCCCGCCTGCCCACCCCTGCTGGCTGGGAGCGGCCCCACTTGTAAAAGCAGGGCTCAAGGGCCCCGGCTGCCATCTTCCATACAAGGAAGGAGCCGGCATCAGTAGCTTGACTCTTCCCCAACCCACTTAATGTTAAGAATAGACACTAATAATACTTAATCGCCCCTCCCTGTGGGCCGGGAGGGGCACTGGTCCTGGCACTATTGCCCCCGAAGCCCCGGGCACCCCCCGTCCCCGCTTCGGAATTCCAGTCTGATGCAGGGACTCGGTGCAACCCCAGTGCCCCACCAAGGGGACATGGAGGCCCAGGGCCACACAGTAACCGAGGGACAGAGTGGGGCTTAAGGGGGGACCGTGGATGCCAGACCGGCGCCCCCGGCTGGGGCCTCTTAAGACCGTGGCCTGACGAGGCAGTGGGTCAGGACTCGAGGAGACTGACGGGGCCCAGTCCAGATTGCGGGGGGGAGGGAAATGGCCCTGTGACCAGGCGCTGCAGGAGGCCAGCCCCTCTCGGCAGGAGAACAGGGTCCCCTTGACGACCTCTCCCTAACCCCTGTGCCCGGAGGGCCGGACTTTGGGTTAGACGGAGCAACACCCGGTCACTTGGCCACCAAAGCTCTGAGCTGCGGTGACCAGCTTAAGAGGCTTCTACAGCGAGCCCGGGACCCCGCTCAGCCACTTTATTCCTGCTGCTGGGGCTGGGAGGTTGGGGGGCAACGCTGAGCCTGGGAACGGGCCTCACGAGGCGCTCTCAGCCGCCTCCCTGGGCGAGGAGGGCCTGGGCTCCCTTAGCGCAGCCTATCCTGGGCCCTGCTGCTGGGGCAGGGAGGTTGGGGGGCAACGCTGAGCCTGGGGACGGGCCTCACGAGGCGCTCTCAGCCGCCTGCCTGGGCGAGGAGGGCCTGGGCTCCCGGGCCCTGCTGCTGGGGCGAGGAGGATGGGGGCGACACTGAGCCTGGGGCTCTGGCCTCGTCCATAGACCCCGCAGCCCAGTCCACAGTGACCTCTCAGAAGCCTCGCCTAAGCCACCCGCCACGCGTCCCCACCCACCACGAGGATCCTACGTCCTCCGGCCAGAGGACCCCTCCACCCTCCGCTTGCAACTCCACACCGCCGGGGGGCAGCGGGGGAGCCAACCTGTCACGCACCTGCTGCAGCCTGGAGCCGCAGGGGCCAGCGGGCGGCGGGCAGAGGGGGGCCGGGAGGCCGGGGCTGGAGCAGACGCCCCTCTGCTCTCCCGCTGCCTCCACAGGCGGTCAGGGCCCCTTGACCCGACGAGACCAGCTCAACCGCGGACACGCCAGGCCCTCCAGAGCATCCCAGACAGCGGCGCGGGCCTGCGGTCGGGCAGGGCTCAGGCCCTCGGCCTAGGGTCCGATCAGACAGGGGGACGGGACCAGGAGGGCGGGGAGGCAGGTGGGGCCACGGTCACCCCAACTCTGGAGCCCCAAGATCTGGCCCAGGCCGTGCAAAGGCAGAAAGAACTCTGCCTGGGAGAATATTACTCAAAATCACGCCGCTCTGACAAAACAATCCTGCTTTTGTTAAAAAAAGAAACAAAAAACTGAAGTGTGCTCCGGGCATCCATCCCAGCCCAGCGGCCCCAGCCTTGCCCACAGCTGTTTAAGGCACTTGAGTGGCTTATTTACACCACCTGGAAAAGTGTGTTTCAATCCTGATTGAGGAAAAAAACTTCAGTAATACTGCAAAAGGAGCATCTCACCAGAAAAAAAAAAAATCAATAGTTTCCTAGGGAATAAAATAAATGCGGAGCTCCGCTTAAGTTACATGACCCACGGAACCTCTTGGCACTGACAGAACATGGACCAGACCTGAAGTACTGCTTCTGAACGAAACGTTTCCCTGGGAGAAGACGACCACAGACGGGACACACGTGTCTTTGTCTGAGCGTCGCCTCCTTGGAGCACGAGCCGCATGCGGGCACCGGGGAGGCCACGGGTGGGCGCCCCGTCTCTTTCCCACGAGGCCCACCCTTCCCACTTGGGCACCCCCAAGCGCTCGGTCACGGGCAGTGTGGGGGGAACAAGAAACCCCTGCCGCTCCCTCCCGGCCCTGCCCGAGGACCCCCAGCGCCCGGCCACCCCGCGTGCGTGCAAAGAGTCTTTGGTGTGGCTGCGGCCGCCACCCGCGGCCTGGGTCCCACCCCCTGCCCCCTCCGGAGCCGCTTTCTTCCACGAGGGCGAGCCGTGGGGGGCATCACCTGCCCACCTCCTGCCGGGTCCTAAGGCATCTGTGGGGGAGGATCACGGGGCGGGGGGCGGGGGTCCGCGCCTCCTAGCTTCTCCATGGCGCATCAGGCTCCGGCTCCAGCAGGTCCCGGGGGTCCCGCAGGAAGACCACCACGACCGTGATGTTGTCGTGTGAGCCGCGCTCGCGGGCAGCGGCCACCAGCGCCTCGGCCACGTGCAGCCCGCTGCCCCCAGGCCCCGCCAGGTGGCTGCGCACAAGGCCGGCCACCTCCTGGTGGGGGACCACGTCGAAGAAGCCGTCACAGGCCAGCAGCAGGTAGTCCTCGGAGCCCGTGAGCTCCCGTGAGGCCGCGTCCGCCTCCCCAGACACGTAGGGCTTCTGGAAGACGTCCCCTGGGCCGGGGGAAGGTGGTAGGGAGGGTGGTGAGGGCCGGGCACCCTGCTGCTGCCCTAACCTCGGGCCCTGGCCGGCCTGCGGCCACCCCACCTCCAACGCACAGCGGCTTATGGGGCACACGGCTGCCAAAAGGTAGCTTCATGGGGTGCCAAGTGCTCCCGGGGGGGAAGGGGGCTGGGCCCCTGGGGGGGTGGAGAGGGAGCGGGGAGGAGTTTCTCAGCCCTGGGGGGAGGTCTGAGCCCCCAACCGCAGGAAAGCAGCCCTGTTTACAGGCCGCCCAGGAATCAATCACCTTCCACCCCAGTGGCCCCGCCAAGGGCTTCTCCCGGTCCTCCCGAGAGACTGTCCTAAGGACTGTGGCTTTGGCTGCCTTATCTGGCTGGGAGGCAAACTTCTAAGGCGTCTGCACCTGCGCCCCGGGTTCACCCGAGCCCCTCCACGGGTGACCCTGCCGTGCCGGGCCCCCTCCCACCCCCTGGCCTGCTTACCGATGGCTCTGGACACGGCCAGGGTCCCGTTGACCCTCCAGCAGTCCATGTGCGACACGAAACCGCCCAGGGCCTCGATGCGGTCCTTCTCGTCCTGTGGAGACAGCCAGGGTGGGTGGGGGGCTGGCGGGCGGGCGGTGGGGTTGGGGGTGCCCACGCCGCCTGAGGGGAGGCCAGCTGGCTTCCAAGGCAGTGCTGGGGACCGTGTGGCAGTGAGAAGTGACTGACTACCTGAGCTGCCCCACAGACGCAGGCGCGGCCGAAGGTGCTGGTGCCAAGGCAGACATGCGCCGTCCCCCCGCAGCTTTTTGGGCTTGGGGAACATGCTCGCGGCAGCCAAGAGAGCCAGGGCCTGGGTCAATGCAGGGCTCTCCGCTGCCGTCTCTCAGGGGATACTGTGTCTCCCTGTCACAGGCCCCTGGGCAGGGCTGGGTGATGCTGAACAGGCCCTGGATGAGCTCTGGGGCCCCCAACCCCAGCCACTGCCTGGCTCCCCGGAGCTCCACCACAGGGCTCCAGGCCTGAGAGGACCGCACAGGCCCAGCCCAGCCTCGAGCCCTGAAACCTTCTCCGACTTCCAGAAGCTCCCCGGGCGGAGGCGTCTCCAATGGGGNGCTGGCCGGGAGGTGGGTTCCTGTGGCTCCACTCATCCAGGCCCTGCCTACCGCGTCCTCCCACAGCCCCCACCTTCCCAGCCTGCTCACCTGTGACCCCGCTTCTGAGAGGGCTCACCCATCACCTGCCACCTCCCCCCGCAGAGCCCGGAGCTCCATGGCCCAGCCCTGCCCAGCTCATGGGGGTGTGTGTGTGTGTGAGTCCTGCAGCCCCTCCAGGCCCCGCAGCCCCAGGGAGCATCGCGCCGCCAGCTCCCAGGTCCCAGACCAAAGGCACGGCGGCACTCCTGGGTGCCAAGCACTCCGGACTTTGCATCCCTGAAGCCCAGACCCTTCCTTCTTGGCACCCGCCCCACCCCAGCCCCCGCCTTCACGGGGAGCATCGCGCCGCCAGCTCCCAGGTCCCAGACCAAAGGCACGGCGGCATTCCTGGGTGCCAAGCACTCCGGACTTTGCATCCCTGAAGCCCAGACCCTTCCTTCTCGGCACCCGCCCCACCCCAGCCCCCGCCTTCACGGGAAGGCCCTCCCCACAGCTGCCCGATGTCTTCCCCACAACCCAGCCCACAGCTCGCCCTCTGCTGGCCCCACTGTTCCAGAAGCTGCCAGGCTCCCTGCCAAGCGCCTCCTGCCACGGGAGCAGCAGCCGCTCCTGCTCCCCGGCCACCCAGCAGGCCGCACCTGCTGCGGGCTCCGGCTCAGCCTCCTCCGGCTCGGTCTGCGTCCCGAGCACCTCCTCCCGGCCTGCTGCCCTCGGGCCCCAGGCCGGGCCCCTCCTAGCTCGGACCCGACACCACCCCTGCCCTGAGGCCTCCGCCACAGCCCGGTGCTCCCCGCCTGTGCAGGAGAGGACTGCGTGTTAACTCTGCCTCCCGGGCCGCCTGCCAGCAGACACCCAGCTCCGTCCTGCAGCTCTGGGCTCCGTGTCGCCGAGACAAGGAGGGCTCTGTGAGATTCCTGGTGGCTAGCGCGCCCAGCTTTAGGGGACCCGCTGGCGCGAGGCGGGGCGCCCTCCCTCTGGAGGACGGGGCCCCCTTACCTGCCGCTCAGGTCTGTGTGGCTCCATCAGCTTCACCGCCTGCCCCTGCTGCACCAGCAGAACCTGGGAGTCCCCGAGCCAGGCCACGTGCAGGGTGTTGCCCGCGATGAGCGCACACACGCCCGTGGTGCCACTCTGCAGCCGCTGCAGGGAGACGCACACGCGGGTGAGGAGGGTGAGGCCGCCGCCCGCCCGCGCCCACACCGGCCGGATGCCCACCCCGGAGCAGCGCTCAGCAGGAAACAGGAATGGACCCACACATGCGGGGACCCCGCGGCGAAACAAGGGCGCTCGCATCAAATCCGCACGCACAGACGCTGCCGTCCGTGGTGTCAGAAAGCGGAGAGCTGGGGGGTCCGGGGAGCAGGGACCACAAAGGCTGGAAGGAACTTCAGGGGTGAGGGGGAGTCTGTTAGCGCGGTGAGGGGCACACGGGTGCAGAAACATGTGCCAACACCCCCCAGCCGGTCCCCTGGACACGTGGAGCCTGTTATGTGTCAAGCACACCTCAGCAAAGGTGTGTCTGGATCATCACAGCCTCAGCTGAGCACCTGCCGCAGGGAACCCTCTCTCTCCTGGCTGGCTGGGCGCCTATCCCGGGGTCTCGGACCTGGACGCTTTTCTGTTCAGATGCAAAGTCCAGCCTCGTTGATCCTGATGAGGGTCTGTGCTCAGACTGTGCCCCCTTCCCCACACCCCCTCAGGAGCCACCGGGCTGTTTCCAGGTCTCTAAAACCATCTTAGCATCCACCCTGTGGGGCCAGAGGACCCTGAGATGTGAGGGGAGGGGAGGTGGGCAGTCAGGTCAGGAGCCAGATGCACCCTTTTTCTTTCAGAAACAAACGGCTTGTCCCTGTAGCTGCTGACGCGTGCAGCTCGGGGTGACCTGCCTGGGGGCAGGGGGAGGTGGTTACAGTGCAAAACAGTAACACCTTGCTGTTACCCTCTGTCTCAGGGACCTGCACTCAGTCACCTCTCACGTCGCCACGGCAGAAAGATCACACGCCGCGATGGAGGCTCCAGTGACGGAGTTTTTAGCAACAAGGTGTTGTTCAAGGTGCCTGCTATGTTCAGACACGACGCTGCTGCCTGCTTGCAGATGAGGGCAGAGTGCAAACCCAGCCTTTATCTGCACCGGGAACCCGACACGGTCACGTGACTTGCTGCATCGCTGCGCGCACATCGCGGAGGTGGTCTGGAACCAAACCCTCGAGGCCTCTGAGGTCTGCCTGCCCTGATCCTGTGCTTTGTTTACTGCATTTTACGATGTGGTGACAACCGAGGGCCTTCTGAACCCTGAAGTGGGCCTTCGCTCCGCTCCCAGAGCTAACTCCTAGAGAGCGAGCGCTAGGGCCTGGTCATGCTCCGTGACCTGCACAAGCCAGCTGGTCTGAGCCCAGGTCCTCAGACACTCCTGTGGTCCCTGGCCCAGGCCGTCTCCCCCCCGCCCTGATGACTGGGGACCACCCCGTGGTCCAGAGACCCTGCTGCTGCTGCTAAGTTGCTTCAGTCGTGTCCGACTCTGTGCGACCCCACAGACGGTAGCCCACCAGGCTCCCCCGTCCCTGGGATTCTCCAGGCAAGAATACTGGAGTGGGTTGCCGTTTCCTTCTCCAGTGCATCAAAGTGAAAAGTGAAAGTGAAGTTGCTCAGTCGTGTCCGACTCTTAGCGACCCCATGGACTGCAGCCCACCAGGCTCCTCCATCCATGGGATTCTCCAGGCAAGAGCACTGGGGTGGGGTGCCACTGCCTTCTCCAGAGGATCTTCCCGATGCAGGGATCGAGCCTGGGTCTCCTGCATTGCAGGCAGACGCTTTAACCTCTGAGCCACCAGGGAAGCCCTAGGCCTAGTCAAACCATCTGATTCTCAGCTTGCCACTGTGCCTGCCCACGGGGGCCAGAGTGAAGGCTCGGAGGCACGCCGTCCTCTGTCCCCTGGCCTTCCCGGCTGACCCGAGGGGCTTGCCGCGTGGCCCTGGCCTGGGGTGGCGTCACTTCTTGAGAACCACGAGGCAGAAGCCCCGTGCCTGTCATCCTGCCGCCCCTGACAAGGACACAGTCTCGCTGCCCGCCCGGTGAGGCCCGCACACCCTCCGCTGGAGAGAGCCCCAGTGGGCTCCGGCCACAGGCCCTCGTGGCAGGAGCAAGAGAATAAGCCAGCCAGCGGGCTTTGGAGGGGGGCCCTTCCGCCGCCTTCCTTGCCGAGGCCCGCCCCCGGCGCCCCCACTCTGCGCTCACCTCTCGCCGGGCTTTCCAGAGGAACATCTCGTCGGTGTGGCGGAAGGCCGCGCGGAGGGCCTCCGCGGGGTCCGTGGCCAGCTCCGGCCGGTGGGCGGCGACCGCGTGCACCTGCACCGACGCGTACCTCGCAGCGTCTGCTCCTCCGTGCCCGTCGAACACGGCGAAGTAGGCACGGTCCACCGAGTCCTGGCGGCGAGCGCGGGATGGGTCATGGCCTGGCTGGCCCCAGGAGGCCTCCGCCGGCCCGCGGCTCTGGCCTGGGGCGGAACCGGGCGCTGGGGGTCGGGGGTCTGGTGGGACAGCAGGCCCTTGCCACCAGACAGGCTGCGAGGGCGGGGGCGTGTCTTGGGGAGGACGACACATGTGCGGGGGTGGGGGGAGCGCGTGGGCAAGGGGAGAGGCCGCAGGCGGCTCTGGGGGCTGGGCGGGGCCGATGACCCCGGCTGCCCAGACCCTGGGGGCAGGTGCTTATGGCAGCCGTGGGCGTCCAGGCAAGCGCGGCCCCGCTGGGCACCAGAGTCCCCTCCCGCGCCCGGACCCACCCCGGGCCCCCACTCACCTCCAGGCCGAAGAGCAGGTTGAAGGCGGGGAGGCACACGTGCCGGTCCTCCATCCTGCGGCGGGCGTTGCGGATGGCGTGTGCAGAGACCAGCCACTGCCGCTGCGGCGCCTGGGCCGCCGCCGGCACCTGCTGCTGCCACTGGCCACACGCCTGCCAGAGGCGGTCGAAGAGGCTCCGCGCCAGGCCCGCGGCGTCCAGCACTGAGGGGCAGGGCAGGGGAGCTGTTAGGGAGGCGCCCCCGCGGACCCCGGGGGGCTCCCTGACCCCACCCTCCCGCTTCCCGAGACGCCTGGAGTCCATCAGCCTGACTGCCCGGCCCCCTGGGCACAGCAGCCTAACGACCCCCGCTTACAGCCTGTGTCACTAGCTACCACGTGCTTGGTTTGCAAACAGTCACACAGGAGTCCCCGCCCAACAGCATGGCTGCACCCCCAAGGAAAGAGCCAGAAACGCAAGAATAATTTAAGAACAAGTACAGGACCACTAATAACTGTGCATTAATGAAAAACAACATACATCCAACGACAGAGAAAATTGCGGTCTGCTCTCCCAATGAAGCTTTAAGCTGCTATTAAAAATGACTTATGTGTAAAAAGCAATTATCCTTCAATAAAAAATTAAAAAATAAATAAAACTGTTAAAAAAAAAGATTTATCACGTCCAAACTCTTTAACTGCCATCCAGCCCAGCAATGGCACCCCGGGGCTTGTATCCCAGAGAAACAAGGGCTAGCAGAGACCGGGGCGGGCGGGTCCCGGCAGTCTCATCTGCAACAATGGAAAGCAGGAATCGGCCCGCACGTCCTTCGACGGGTGAACGATAAATTCTCATATACAGCACCCGGGACAGCGGTCAGTGGAAGGAAGGAAGGAAGGAGCTCCTGACACACAGATCTGGTGACTCTCCAGGGAGCCCCACTCAGTGGAAAAAGCCAATCCTGCGTGACATCGCTTATCTGCATCCTCAAATGATAAGAACATAGGGATGGGTGGCTGTCGGGGCTTAGGGTGGGGGCAGGGGGGTGTCAGGGTGGCCACAGTGATAACGCAACATCCATGTGGGATGAAACTACGTCAAGATCCTAGTTGTGCTATTCCATCAGTTTCCAGGACATCACCACTGGTGGACAAAGACGCGAGGGTCCTCCGGGCCATTTCTCACAACTGAGGCCACGGCTGCCCGAGTGCCAAGTTTAATTTTAAAAAGTTCAGGGATGGGACAGAAATCGACTTTGCGAGCATATGAAGTACTTAGGTCACAATATTTTTAAAAAATCGACACTGAGGGGGAAAAACGTGAACATGGGAAACACAGGGGAAATCCCACGTTTGATCACGAGGATGTGAAAGCCTGCGACCCAGGTGGGCCCAGAAGACTTCAGAAGCAGGACAGGACGCCTGCAGGCGGGGTCCCGGGCCACCCCTTTCCTTAAGGACACATTTTTGTGCTTTCCCCATTTCCCACTGCAACCAGAGGCTGTTTTTTTTTTTTTTTTTTCCGGCTGTGTGGGGTCTCAGTTGCTGCATGTCTGATCTAGTTCCCTGACCAGGAATCTACCCAGGCCCCCTACACGGGGACTGTGGGGGGTCTCAGCCACCACCGGGAATCCCAGGAGCTGGTTTTCAAGCAGGTCCGTAAACCTCCGACACTTTCCCTTTCAGACTGGGGCCAAGCTCGCTGGGGCGGGGCGCGTAGAGGCTCCCCCTGCCCTGCCACACTGGGTCTCGGTCACACCTCTGCCCGTGGCGGGGGTTCTTAGAACTCCTGAGCGACGCCAGTTTTGCAAGAATGGCTTCAAGGGACAGACTTGCCTGCGCTCCACTCCCCTGACGGGGGTGAGCTGATGAGCGCAGCGGGCCCAGGCCTGCTTGGAGGGCGGGGCGGGCTGATCCAGTGGCCCCTGCCCCGGCCCTCGGAGACCCCAGGCCTGGCTCTAGGTGGTCAGCCGCACCAGCTCCTTCCCGCCAGCAGGCGGTGTTGGCTTCCCGGTGAGGGGGCAGGGGTATTCGTGGGCCGGCTGGCAGGCTTGGCAGAGGACAAAGGCAGTCTTTCGCCCTCCCGCCAGCCTCAGGCAGGAATGCGTGGTGGGGCTGGGCTGGAATGCGTCTGGGCAGGGAGCCAGGGAAAAGGCCGTGTGTGTGTGTGTGTGCGCGCGCGCGTGTGTGCACATGTGTGTGCGTGCATGTCCCTCTGCCCTGCATGTGGCACTGAACCTGGGGGTAGTAATTATGTCAGGCGGTGGAGGTGCCAGGTAACTCTCCGTAACGTATCATGGAGCAAACCGATGCACCATACGCTTACATTACACAATGTCACACATCAGTTGTGTATCAATTAAAAATAAGGACGAAGCAGCAGTGGGCCAGGAAGGGGCACGAGTGCAGAGACCTGTGGAGGCTCTTGCCGCCTGCCCCCTGGGGCTGGACCCCGGGACGGACCCTGTCTCCCAGCAGGCATCCCACCTGACCCAGCACCCTCTCCAGCCCGTGAGCACTCAGGAACCCAGCCCCTGCTCAGACCTGGCCCAAGGCTGCAGTCCTGCTGCAACTTGAGCCGACTTCCACCCCGGGGGAAAAGCTACCAGGAAAGCGATAAAAGAGCCTGCAAAACAGGGCCTGCCTCCTGGCCAGGCTCCTCTGGATGCGGACTGCAGGCTCGGGAGCAGGGCACCAGCTCTCAGGGACCCCCGAGTCACCACCCGACCGGGTTCCCAAACCTTCGCAGCTGAGACACAGCCCAAACTCTGAATTTTCTACCCCTGGCCCCTGCGGCTGCCCCGAGGTCGGCTCCCACGTCACCACCCACGTGTTGCGCTGAGGTGGGAGGGCAGGCCCACGAGGGCTGCCCCGGACAAGGCTGTCCACTGCCCAGGCTTCGGGGCTCGTCCTCCACGCCTGGGAGGCCTCTCCTGGGGCTCAGACTCTGCCACTCTGTCATGAGCCCGGCACTGCCCGCCAGCGAAAACGGGAAAGGAAAGGCAGCCGGGTGACCCGACGCTCCCCTGCGGCCTATCTCCCGCTAAGCCCCCGAGCCCCGAGAGGGGAACTCACGTGTCACAGGAGCCTTCTCCTCCGCTCCGTCCCTGTCTTCCTCCTCCTGCTCCGGCAGCTTCCTGAACTCAGAGAGGTCTGACTGCAGCAGCTGGGAAACCGCCTCGTGGGCCAGGCAGGCGGCGAGCGATGGCGGCGCGCTCCTGGGGGCGGGGGCCTGGAGTTAGGACCCCGGGGTCTGCCCCGCGCTCCAGGGACAACCCCGGCCCCCTTCCCCTTGGGGAGCTCCTTCCGGAAGGAGTGGCGGCTGCTCGCACGCCACCAGTGGCCACGATGGGCAGGTGGACCTCGGGTCCTTGGGAAGCTGGATGGCTGTCCAGGCAACACCATTTACGGGGTGGTGCCTCACTGGGGCTGGGAGGGGACCCACGGACGTGTGAGCTGAGTCTACTGGACAAACGGCCCGACGTCCAGCCTCAGACAGCTCCCGGCCCCCAATGCCAGCCGGGGAGCCCTGCGGGTTGAGGAGACCTGCGAATCGAGTCGTGTGTTACAGATTTTAAGCCCAGCGCCCCGGAACGTGACCAGGCGTGGAAGCTGGGCTGTTGCAGAAGCCACTAGTTACGAGGAGGTCCCCCGGGGGAGGGGGCGCCAATGCCATCATGCTGGCGTCCTTATTGAAGGGGGACCCTGGGGCAGAGACCCCAGGGAGACACCCTGCGAAGGTGAAGACTGGCGAGCAGACCTCCAGCTGAGGACTGCCAGCAACGGTCAAGGGACCGGCCCCGCAGACACACGGCTCCGGGATCCCAGCCTCTGGAATCTCAGGACAGCAGGGCTGTTGTTGAGGCTGCCTGGCCCCTGGAGCTTTGTCGTGGCCGCCCCAGTAGAGGAATGTGGGGAGCACCACACCCACGGGCTGTGAGCCCCCTTCATGCGGGGTCCTGGGGGAAGCAGGCCATCCAGGCAGCTGGCGAAGGGGTCTCTGGGGAGGCAGCTGCCAGGTTGACGGGGTCATGCCCTTGGTGTGGCCGGAGGAGGGACGTGACACCATCTGATCGGGCTTTTTCAGGCCAGCCTGGCCTCACTGCGGAGGGCGGGGCTGGCGGTGGGCCGGAGGGAATGGGGCTGGTGTGTGGGGCAGGGGACTGGGTGGATCCGCACGGCGTCTCAGGCTCCCCGGAGGCCAAGAGGCCTAGGGCAGGTGGGCACGTGGTCTGGGTGGGCGAATGGGGTGGGGCAGAGCAGCTGAAGGGGGCTGGGGAAGTGGGGTGACGCCAGGGGTGCCACCTGGGGCCGAGTCTGGGAAGCGAGACCTGGCTGGCTGCTTCCCAGGGCAGACAGGCTGCGCAGAGCTGAGGATCAGCGCAGGCTGGGGTGGGGAGCAGCAGGCGACAGAAAGCCTCCGGGCGGGAGAAGAGGGTCATGCGGGGGCTCTGGGAGGCCTGGGGGTGGAGAGAGCGAGGCCAGCAGGAAGCACTATGGACAACTCTCACCACGGGCTCCGGGGCATGCAGGCGCAGGCCCCAGACTCGGGGACCAGATCCCACCATGGAAGGTCCCAGCTCTCTGGGCCCCAGGCCTGGCATCCTGGCCTGTCCCCGAGGCCAGGCACGCCGGAGGGTGGCTGAACACTGTATCAGGCAGAGCCAGGCCCTCCCGATGGCTGGGTGGGTGTGCTCCTCTGGGCACTCCAGGAGAGTCTGCAGAGGGCCTGAGGTTGCTGCTGGGATGAATCTGTCGTCTTTTTTTTTTAAATGAGAGGCTGACTCAGGGGCACAGCCTCTGGAACCTGCCTTTGAAAAACAACCAGCCAAGATCCCCTTGGCCCCGTGGGGATTTCCTGCCCGGAGCTGGGCCTTCCCTTTCCACGGTGGGGAGAACTGTGCCTCCGCTCCCCGGTTCCAAGTGCGGGGCGAGGCCACAGAGGCTTCCTGTGCCCCGGAGTNCAGTGCGGGGCGAGGCCACAGAGGCTTCCTGTGCCCCGGAGTCCTGGTGGGGGGCAGGGAGGTGGCTTCCAGCCTTGGGGGCAGGACAATGCCTGGCCATGGGCCCCGCCCGGCACCCTGAGGCCACCAAAGACTCCAGTGAGGATGCCTCACGACAGGGACCAGGTACCCAAGAAACGAGAATCGCTCTGGTCCACCACCTGGCGGGTTTCCAGGGAGCCCGCAGGCCAGCGGCAGAGATGAAACTGCCTCTCGGTGACTGCGGTGTCCGGCCCGCCTGGGGGCCTGAGACGTGACCCCTGACTACAAGGAGGAGGAGGAGGCTCTCCCGCAGGATCCATTCACAGCCGGCACGCTCGGGCCTGGACGGAAAAAAAAAAAAAAAAAAAAAAGCTGGAAAATATGAGACTTTAAAATAACGGATTTTAAGATCCTTCGAGGGGCGCCCCTGGCTGCTCAGTGGTAGAGGATCCACCTGCCCACGCGGGAGACGCAGGTTCGATCCCTGGCGTGTGAAGCGCTCACGTGCCGGGGAGGATAACCAAGCCCCCGTCAGCACGACTACTGAGCCTGTGTTCTAGGACAACTATTGAAACCCACACGCCCTGGAGCCCCTGCTCCATAGCAAGAGAAGCCCGTGACCTGCAACCAAGGGCAGCCGCCACTCGCCACACCTAGAGCAAAGTTTGTGCAGCATGAAGGCCCAGCACAGCCAGAAACAACGAAAACACTTTTTAAAAAATCATCCAAGGTTGAGAATTCCCTGGCGGTCCTGCCGTTAGGACTCTGCAGTCTCCCTGCAGAGGGCGAGGGTTCGATCCCTGATCGGGAACTGAGACCCTGCTGGCTCTGGGGCTGAGATCCCTGACCTCTCACCCGTCACCAGCATCAGGCCTGCACTGTTTGCCCGCGTGGACCCCTCAGGCCGCCCCCTGTCTCCGGCTCAGGCCCCTCCCTGGGCAAGAGGGCCCTCGTGCCCTGCTCGGGCCCGGCAGAGACACCGGCCCAAGGGGCTGCTGCGGGCTTGGGGCGCTTGAACGTCTCTTCCGCCCCCCGAGCGCCACTGTGGTGCTCGGCCCCTCGTCTCGCCCCCATCCAGCCCCCCGAGCCCCAGTGTGGCCTCAGCCGGCCCCAGGCCCGCTTGGCTCCCCTGGTCGGCCTCTGAACTAGTTCCCCAAAGGAAGAGCAGCCAGCTGCAGCCTCTGTGCGCGCCACGTGGACGGACAGGCCACCCGCGCTTTCAGACCCGCGGCTGCCACGCCCCTGCGGCCGACCGGCCAGGCCTCAGGCCCCTCCCAGCAGGCGCCGGGGGTTCAGGGCGGGAGCTGGCCTGCCTCCAAGGACACCGAACGCCAGCACTGGGGGTTACCAGTGACGGGCGAGGCCCCCTGGCCCCCCAGCCCCGCCCACCACCCTCTCCCTTGGGCCTTGGGCGGCCCTCGGCTCTCCGTCTCCCCGACTCCCGCTAAGCTGCTCATGCCCCTCTGACCTCATCTTCATGGCCTGGGCAGCGGGGACACGGCTACTGCCGCTCGGGTCTTGGTGGCTAGGGGACAGTGTGGCCTCGGGCCAGCCTCTGAGCCTCTGCCACCCCGCCCATGATGGGCTGGACCAAGTCCCTCGGGAAGGCCCGCCGAGGCCCCCTGTCAGAAGGGGAGCCTGTCGAGGAGCAGGGCCCCCAGCCCCGTGGGACGGGCGCCCTTACAGGGAGGGCAGACACAGACAGGCGGGAGAACGCCAGTGGGCACTCATGGCTGGGCTGGGGACGTGTTGACAGGCCAGGCCGCACCCGCAGCTGAGACCAGTGTTGGGGGCGGCCCTGACTGCTGGCCTCTTGGATGCAGAGACGGGGCCCTTGCGTCAGTTGAAGCCCCCCACCATGCAGGCTGCAGCCCCGGAAACCGAGGTGGCTGGCGGGGGCAGGGGGGATGCCCATGTGGAACACGACCAGGAGTGAAGGTACAGGAGAAGCCGACCGGGGCGGGGTGTCACGGTCCCGCGCCCCCCTCCCCGCACGCTGGGCTCCTCTTGGGGCCACGGTCCTGCGCCCCCTCCCCACCCCAGCCCCCATCCCGCACCCACACCGCTCACCGGCTGTTCAGGAAGCCCAATGCCAGCTCGGCCAGCTCGCCCTCCGCCTCCTCGCGGCTCAGCACGGGCCCTGGGACCTTCCACGGCAAGGGGCTCTCCGGGCTCAGCGGGGCTGGGAAGTCACAGAGGAGCGCCTCCAGGAAGCCGGGGGTCTCCTCTGCCATCTGGCCGCTCTGCTGCAGGGTCTCGGCAGCCATGCCCAGGGCATCGGGGGGGGCAGGGCAGCTGCTGCCGGGGTCCTCGGCCTTCGCTCTGCGGGGAGACGTGAGGGTCAGCACCTGGGGCTGGGGGTGACCGTGCCCATGCTCTGCAGTGCTGAGTGCCCATTTCCCCCTGCTTCCCCTTGGAAGCGGGGGCCACACCGAGACCGGGGCTCTAGGCGGAAGGGCAGGGCCACCCAGCTTTGGACGCAGTTAGTTCTGAGGCCCACGTCTGAGGGACAAACCCTGATGAGGGACCTGGGGGGCCCAGAGGGGTGACTCCTGGAGACAGCGCCGGGGGGCGGGCAGAGGGCTGTCCGGCTGAAAGCGGAAGGTGTGCTCCTGGTGAAGAAGAGCCTGAGCGGGCAGAGGCAGGCAGACGCGGCCTGTGGCCTGTGAGGGGCTCTATGTGCCCTGGGCGTCCGCCGGAGGCAGTGCCGTGGTCAGCAGAGGGCTCCCTGGGGACACTCGGGGCCTGGAGGGGCTGGTCAGGCCTTATGTCCTCCCAGGAGTCGTCCCAGGCCTCCTGAGGCTTAAAGGGGTTGACCACGGGCTAAGTGTCTCCAAACATCCCGACTGTCCTGCGCTTCAAACGGCTGGAGGACGGGGGACCCGGGGCCCCCAACCCTCTGAGGACAGAGCTCCTAACTCCGCGTGAGTCTCCAGGAAGGACGGCCGGGTGTGGGCTTGGGGGAAGGGAAGCAGGACGGGTGATGAGCGGAGGGTCTGGGGGGGCAAAGGGAGCTAAGTCAAGAAACACGTGGAGCAGGAAGTGGCAACCGTCTCCAGCAGTCTTGCCTGGAGAATTCCATGGACAGAGGCCATACAGACCATGGGGTCACAGAGAGCTGGACATGACTGAGCAGCTGACAGACACACGCCTGATCTACGGCACTGTCTACCCTTGAGTAGAGACGTGTGTCTTTATGAGACGTATGAAGATGTGACTTACGACACACTTTCGTATTTAAGGAGAGAAGGTTCTGGGGACAGGCGCACACTCATGGTCACCCCTCCTGTCTGCTCACCACTGAGGGAACACAACGCAGCCCCCGGCCGAAGAAAGCACACAGGGGCACAGACGAGGGACGGAAAATAAAGTGTGATCAGGTCAGAATGGGCGGGACACTGCGCTGCACCCACAAGGGTATGACTGAGAGGGGAGGGGACCCGGAGAGGCCAGGCAGGCCTTCTACCTTGCTGCCCGGGGTGGGGGGGCGGGGGGCGGCCCAGCCTGGGGACACCGTTCCCTGGGCCTGGAGCCCGCTCCCCTCCAGCAGCGGAGCCTGCTCTCCGCTCTGTGGCCAGCGCCCCTTGCCCGAGCATGACTGCCCGTGCAGGGTGCTGGCTCGAGACTCTCACAGCCTGGGACCCAGGCCTGAGGACCTGTGGGGGGCATGGGAGGGACCCTGGGCTGCCAGCCCCCGCTGCCACCTGCTTGACCCATCTGGCCCAGCGTGGCCCGTGGCCAGGCCCTCCTGCTCTCGGCACAAGTCCCCCCCCCGGCACTGCTTGCAGTNCGTGGCCAGGCCCTCCTGCTCTCGGCACAAGTCCCCCCCCCCCGGCACTGCTTGCAGTGGAAGTAATGGTGCTGCCACCTAATACCCGCAGGGGACCAGTGGGGTGCAGCCCACTAAGGGTGCTCCGGCCCCTCCCCTCGCCCCCAGACGTGGAGCTACGACCCCCAGCTTACAAGGCAGGGCTGTGAAGAAAGGGCCAAGTCAGCCACCCCGGGTCCCAGTCAGGAGCCCGGCTGCCAGCCCACTCCTGGGGGCTGCTGGCCTCGGGGGGCTGGCCGCTCCCAGACCCCTCCCTCATTTCTGCGCCCGAGACCCGAGCGCTCTGCCCCACCTCAGCCGAGAGCCCCACACTGTCTTCCGGGCTCTACGGCCCTTCTGCTTGCACCTGACTTATCACACTCCATTCCTCTTTTTCCTTTTTCCATTTAAAGTATCTACTTTCCTCTAGTTTACCCATCGTGACTTAGAAGCTCAATTCGCATGTCTGTAAGCTTGGGTTTTTCTCCGCCAGGCGGACAAGGCAGCTTCCTGTGGAGTCCTGCTTGACTTCCCAACAGGAGGGAAGGCAGAAAGAGAGCCTTAGGAAAGGAAAACCGCACCGCTGTTACAAAAGTATCATCTTCATTGTTACAAATTTTTCTATAAATGGAGAATCTTATTTCTTCATTCATATACAGCCACTGAGAAGAGTAAGGCGGAAACCTTTCCAGATCTTTTCCTATGCACATATATTCTTCTTTTTGATACATTTAAGGTAAAGTAATGCGTATGCTCAGTCACGTCTGACTCGGCGGCCCCATGGACTGTAGCCCGCCAGGCTCTTCTGTCCATGGGACTTTCCAGGCAAGAATCCTGGAGTGGGTTGCTACTTCCTACTCCAGGGGATCTTCCTGATGCAGGGGTCGAACCTGCATCTCTTGTGTCTCCTGCATTGGCATGTGGATTCTTTACCACTAGTGCCACCTGGGAAGCCCAAAGTAAAGGATACATAACACACAATTGATCATTTCACTCATTGTAAGTGTGGGTTTCCCTGATGGCTCAGTGGTAAAGAACCCACCTGGCAATGCAGGGGACGAGGGTTCGCTCCCTGGGTTGGGAAGATCCCTTGGAAAAGGAAATAGCAACCCACTGCAGTATTCTTGCCTGGAGAATCCTCATGGACAGAGGAGCCTGGCGGGCTACAGTCCACGGGGTCAGAAAGTCAGACACGACGTAGTGACTAAACAACTCGTGACATACAACTCACCCTTCTACTCATTCCGAGTGCACAGTTGTGCCGCATTAAGCACACCCTCACCGGATTGACTCCTCACCAGATTGTAACCTGGGCCCCCACCCCCACCCGGCCTCCAGGTGTAACGGCACCTCTATGCAAGGCCCCTTTGAACACAGCGGCTGGCAACGTGAGGGCAGAGGGGTGGGTGTCAGCTTCCTCCCAACACCCTCTGCAGGTGCAGCCTGAGGCCTGGCCCCTTAAAAGAGGAAGCTAACCACCGGTTAGCTGTTCCACCGGTGGAACGCGGTGGGCAGCAGACAGGTGCTACAGGCAGTGCTGGCTTCGGGCCACATCAGAAAGGAATTCTAGGAACGAACCTGCGGAGGTTGGCCTAGCGGTCTGCGTCCTGTTTACCTCTCACAACTGTGCTGACTACAAGCCTGGACTCAGTCACGCTGCAGTGAAGAAACAGGCTCCGGGCGGGCAAGCAAACCCCCACGGAGGCCGCACAGGCAGGAAACGGCCAAGCCGGAATCAGGTGGGGTCTTCCCGGCCTTTGTCATTTCCAGCTCAGTGGCAGGAGAAAAGGACTTGAAATGTGACCATTGGCCGGATATGGCACAAAAGGCAGAAATGAGCCTCCAGCTCTCCGGGCGGCAGCCCCAGGGGGCACAGCTCACCCTCGAAGCCTGCCCCGGGGGATGTCAAGAGGATGTGTGTCACTCAGCACGTGTCACTAACGGTACGGTCCCCGCTGGATGCCGGGCTGCGGGGCGGGGCCGGACAGGCCTGGCACGAAGACCCCTACTACGGCCAGCTGCCACTCCCCTGCTGCAGACAGGCTGAGGAGCCGGCCTGAAACCGCGCAGCTGCAGCGCGGGGCCTGCGCCTGGGGTTCCATCGCACACGCGTCTGGCTAACGCCGCTGCACGCAGCCCGAGCGCTGGCTGGAAACGGAAACACTCAGATATACTCGGGGCCGGGCCGGGATCGGGGGCCGCCGGGGCGCAGCTGCGGCCCGGCAAATGTCCGGGGGGCTTGCTGGGGTAGGGGTCTGGGCCGGGGGTGCGGAGGGGAGCCCGGGACTCCGGGCAAGCTGGCACATCGCGCCTCGGCCCCTCACTGCGCGCCCCGGCTCGGCCCGGAGCCGCCCCCGCCGCACCCCGGGTGCGCAGCCCCCAGGCCCGCTNTTAGCGACCCCATGGACTGCAGCCTACCAGGGTCCTCTGTCCACGGGATTTTCCAGGCAAGAGCACTGGAGTGGGGTGTCATTGCCTTCTCCACACGACCCTTTTAGGGAACCTTAATTTCGTATTGCCACAAACTGACACACACTTAGTATCTGCAGGCCTGGAGGTCGGAAGCCTGCAGGGTCTCAATAGCCTACATTCAAGGGTCATCAGGGTGCCCTTCCTTTCTGAGGGGTCTAGAGGAGAATCTGTTTTCCCTCCTTTTTCAGCTTCTAAATGCCCCGCCTCTTTTAGCTCATGGTTCCCCCACCTTCAGAGCCAAGAAGACCCTTGTGATGACCTTGAGCCACCAATGACCCAGGGTAACCTGTTCTAAAGTCAGATGAGCAGCCCTAATTCAGCCTGCAGCCCTGATTCCCCTTCACCACGTTATCTAAGAGCAGCACAGTCCCAGGGCCCAGGATCTGGACATCTCCAGGGGGCCGCTTCTCTGCCACCCTAGAGACCAAGGGAAAAAACTGGGGCCACGCTACACGGCTTGTGGTATACTAGTTTCCCGACCAGGGATCCACATTGTCCCTGGCCATAGAAGTGGGGAGTGCTAACCACTGGACCGCCACGGAATTCCCTGGAAGTATTTTAACACTGAACAGATAAACACTTAGGTTAAAGAAAATGTTTTAATATATAATATGTTCATCTTTATATCAATGCAGTTGTAAAGCATAATATAAACTTTTTTGGAAGAGCCCTCAAAAGCCCCAGTGGGGCCCTGCCCACCTAACCTCCAGGTGGGCACACAGCCTGTGTCTGGCCCAGGAACTAAGATTTACTAACAGGTGTCCGGAGAACTAACAGTCAGGTGATTTGGAAGGACAGAGACTGGGTAGGGGGTAGATCTAGAAGGCAGTGGGCATCTGGGCAGAGAAGGCAGGGTGGGCTCCCTTCTCCTCAGGCCTTCCTAGATTCTGTAACCCAACCCCACCCGCAAGTCAGCATGGTGACCCCAGCAAGGCCTGTGGTTAAGTGCTTATGACCTGTGACCTTCTATATGTTCCTTAGCTGCCCCATATCCAGTTTCCATATCAGTAGGAGACCAAGAGCTGCCAACCTACCCTCCAAGGGCTTCTGTGAGACCCTGCCTCAGTGTTTCTCAAAGTGCACCCAGAACAAGTGTGAACTGAAGTTTGAGGACCGCTGTGTGGGTGAGGAGATCCTGTGATAGCTGACATCCCATGGGCCTCCCGGGCAGGCCCACACGAGACTCCTCAGCAATGATGCCCCCCGAGGCCAGCGCTGGGAGGTGGTGGGGAAGCGAGGCATGCCGCCTGGCCGGGAGCATGCCTCTTCCAGCGGGCACAGGGCCAACCCCGCGCCCAGGAGCTGACCGGCCCTGTGGCTGGTGTCAGCTCCTCCTGGCCCGTTTCCGCCCGCCTCAGCTCTAGCCCTGGCTCTACCCTTGGGAAAGGAGCCTCCCACGTCACCCGGCCCGAGCTCCAGCCTCTCGGGTGAACCTATGACCCGGGCAGCAGTCCGTGTCTGGGCAGCAGTTCCAACCTGCCCAGCATGCAGGCTTGGGGAGGTGTTTCACGGGGCCCGTCAGGGGGAGGCCTGGCACAGGGTGACGTCCCAAGGTGGACATGTGGTGGGCTGTGGTGGGCGCCCTCATGGGAAGTGGGCAGGTGACCTGTGGCCTGCAGGTGGTGTGGCTCCCCATGACCCTGCCGTCTGCTGCCGTCCGCCTCTGTCTGAGGGGACACGTTTGAGAACGGGAAAGGGAACAGGCCTGGGGGGCCAGGGTCACATGCGGGCCCCCCACACACAGACCCACCCGGTGGGCAGTGGGTGGAGTGGGGGCCCACACCCAGGGAGGAGTCCCCCCAGCCTCGGGCAGTGGGGCGCCCAGGCACCCTGACGGGTGCACACCACGCCACGGCTCACGCTGGGACGCGGCGGGCGCCCTGCACTGGGCCTGCTCCTGGTTCTGTGCAGCGGCCCCCCTGCAGGACTCGGGCAGGGCAGGCACTCGGGGGCGTGTGCAGGACGAGGGAGAGGCAAGGGGATGGGCACAGCCCTCCGACAGCAGGTAAGGCTGGGGAGCCCCTGGCTCTGCAGAGACACCACATTTAATGATTTCCGTGGCCTGCCGGCCGTCACACAAAGTAGGCAGCCAGGGCTGACATCTTGTCCTTGGGCCGCCGGGGGCCCGGCTTCCCCGCCGGCCTCCGGCCCCGGCCCCGGCCCCGGCCTTGCCTCCGCCCAGGCCCGCGGTGCATGGGGTGGCAGGAAGCTGCGTGCTTCAGCTCCACCAGCTCCTGGAAGACTGGGTCGCAGAAGACGCAGCCCGTATGCTGCGTGCCGTCGCCCGGCAGCGGNAGAAGACGCAGCCCGTATGCTGCGTGCCGTCGCCCGGCAGCGGGGACTTGGCTTTGTTGAAGTCCACGTCCAGCAGGGCGGCCTCGCAGGAGGCACACGTCTCGGCGGACACGCGCACGCGGTGGGCGTTCTCAAAGCAGTGGGCCACCACGTTGCACCTGTTGCAGGCCACGCGCCACTTGGGGCCAGAGGTGGGGTCGAGCACCAGCACGCCGCTCTCGCACTCCACGCACTGGCCGATGCCCAGCATGCTGAGCGAGTGCTGGCAGCTGGGGTGCGTGCACTCGTTGCAGCCCGTGCCTGTGGGGAGGGCCGCATGAGGCGCACGCACCCACCCCCACCCCGGGGGCCCCTCCTCTCGCCCACCCACGCTCACCCTGGGCTCTGTTTCTTCAGGGCTTCCTGACTCTCACGGCCCCCCCCCGCCCCAATGCTGAGGTTTCCGGAAGGGCATCTGGGCGGCCTCCAGTCAGGTCCACCCCCTTGGGCCCAGGTGGGACCACTGGCTGCCCTGGAAGCTGCGGGAGGTAGGGACGGGTCTCCCTGAGAAGGGTGGGGACTGGGGACTCCCCCTGCCCGCAGGGGCCCCCCAGCACCCTGCCCGCGTGCCCCCAGCCTGGAGCCCAGGGTGGCGCGGGCGGGCGGGGCTCACCCTTCTTCATGTCCCGGAAGGGCGGGTGGTTGGAGCAGTAGGGGCACAGCGGGTAGCTCTTGCCCCTCGAGCCGGACGACCACAGGACCAGCTCGAAGTCGTCCAGCGGGCACCGCAGCTCCTTGTAGAGCTTGATGGTCCCGTTCTGGGGCAGCGTGTGGGTCTCGTCGCAGTGCGAGCAGTGCAGGCGGCTCGGCTTGGCCTGGGCAGGGTCGGGGGGCAGGGGTCACCGGGCTGCCGGGGCCTCCTGGCCCACCCGCCCACGCTCAGCCTCCCCGGGACACAGCACGGCGCACGACGCAGAACACACGCAGGGCGGGCAGTGTGGTGTCGCCAGGACCGCTCGGGTCAGGGGCTCTGGTCACCGAGTCTCAGGGTGCTCACTGATCCACACGCGCACAAAGGCGCTGCCAAAACCCCACGTGTGCGTCAGCTTCCGTGACAGCGAAGAATGCGGGGTTAGGAGTGCGTGGACGGCCCACGGGTCAGGGTCCCACGGGTCACGCGCAGCTGGGTCTGAGGGCAGCACTGGGCATCTGCTGACGAAGCTGCCCAGGCCTCGCGGTCACTCCACGTGGAGGCCACCGGAGCAAGGCCACGGGGAGACGAGACTGTGTCTCGTGCACACATGCCCTCCTACCTGGATGTACTTCATGAAGCGGTGGCACTTCCCACAGCGGGAGAGGGGCTTGCCCGTGGCCGCCAGGGGCGAGAAGGACACCTCCATCAGCTCATCCATGCCTGCAAGCCAGCAGGACCGGAGTCACAGCCCAGCCCCAGCCACTGCCTCCCTACGGCTGGCGTACTGGGCCAGCTTCAGGGACCACCACATGTGGCCAAGGGCGCCCCTGATGGTGGGTGAGGGCAGCCCCCTGGAGCCAGGGCCTGGGAGCGGGTCTCCTGGAGGGGGATCATGGCCCTAAGCTGGGTTCCCCCGCCAAGGGGCAGGGAAGGGGCACACTCACCCGCGATGGAGTCCACGAAATAGTGGAACTTCCTCTTGAAGACGTCCAGGGTGTGACCCAGGACCTGGCGGAAGTCGGCTCTGCCCTGGGCGATCAGGTTCAGCTGCTTCTCCACGGCGCTGCGGATGGTGGGCAGCACCAGCTCGGCGTCTGTGGGCGGGCGGCGGCGCTGTGAGCCCTTGTGCCGCGCAGGGGTAGGGCTCCCACCTGTGATCTCCCAGGAGCCCTACGCTGGGGACCAGGGCACCCCGTCACAGGACGGTGTCACCGAACGGGCTGCCCGGCTGAGGTCTGTGCCGTCTCCCACGGCCCCTGGGGGACCCCTCAGGGCAGATACACGGCCCAGCACCAAGGACTCCAGGGCCAGCCAGGAGCCAGTCTGCAGGAATCCAGGCCCCTGCTCTCAGACCCAACACTTCCAGGAGGCCATCAGGCCGCCGGTGTGGGCCCTGTGGTGGAGGCGTGGCCGGGGCGGGCCCGGCGGCGGAGGGCGGGGCCGGGGCTCACCGATCTTGTAGTAGCCATGCACCAGGACGATGCCGAGATTGGTGGGCTTGAGCCGGCGCCCGCTCTCCACGACCACGTAGTTGCGCTGGCAGATGTTGTTGATGTGGACAGGGATGCTGGCGTCCGTCCCTGGGCACAGCACGGACTTGGCTCTCCCTCCGCCCGCCCTGCGAAGCCGGCTTCTCAGCTCCGCCCCCGCCCCCCACGCCACTCGCAGGCCCGCCCCGGACTAGACTGTCCCCCGACGTGGAGGCTCCTGGTGGCTCAGAGGCGAAGGAGCTCGGCCGCCCGCCCCTCGCGTCTGCTGAATGTGAGCTCCAGCCTCTCCCCGCCTCGCCCCACGGCACACGCTCGTTCCAGTACCAGGGCGCAGACCCACGCGCAGAGCGCCGCGGCAAAGTGGTTCCCCAGCAGCTGGCAGACCAGCCGGCGGCCTGGCCTCGGGGTCCCTCCAGCTGCGGAGCCGTCCAGAGCCTGTCAGCCTCTAGGGGCCTGGTCCACCAGAGCCAAGCCCAGGGAAAGGCAGGGCCCCTCGCGAGGCACGGGGCTGGCTCCAGGGGTGGGAGAACTCGGGTCACAGCCCTGGGCCTGGGGTCTGGGCAAGGCCCCTCACCCGCACAGCAGCGGCCACAGAAGCTCCTGAGGACACCGCCCCATGTGACGCTTCCGGCCAGAGGGAACAGGGCTGTGGGGCCTTGGCCTTCCTGCTGTCCGCGGACTCGATCTGTGCCCTCCCTGCAGGTGAATCAGGGGCCCCCTCGGCCAACGCTCAGCCCCGGAGATGAGCTAGTGCCAAGGACGCATCTCTAGGCTCAAGGCCAGGTCCGGGGGTGGAGGCCGCAGCCAGGGCCCCGGCTGCCCTGCCCCGCTCGGCGGGCCCCGGCGGGACACACCGATGCCGTGCTTCTCCATGAGGGTGATAAGCTCGGCCTCCGTCAGGTAGTCCGGCGGGCTGGTCTGCTTCTCCAGCAGCTTGACCTCGGCCACAGCCAGGGTGTCGCCCTTCTGGCAGGTGGGCAGGCTCTCCTCCAGGGGCACGCTCTGCCAGGGCATGATCTCCGTGAAGCCTGCAGAGACACCGGCCCTCAGGACACGCACCGCGTGTCCGCGGACGGGGGAGTGCCCGCCTGCCGCCCCTACCTGGGGAGATGACGGTCTTGCCCGTGCAGGTGAAGCGCTCGGGCCCAATCCGGAAGGAGACGCTGCTCTGCAGGTACCTGCAGTCGTGGCTGACGGTGGCGATGAAGTGCCTGGTGATGTACTCATAGAGGCGCCAGGCCTCACCCCCTGCCACGGGCGTGGACGCTCAGTGCCAGGCTCCGGCTCCAGGCAGCCCCGTGTTCCTGCTGCGGCACCGGGGCCCCTGCTCCCAGCCCGCGGGGATGGGGGACTTCAGGCCCCTCATGGTTGAGCCTGTCACACTGCCCCACCTGGCCTTCTGCCCCAGGGCCTCCCGAGGCAGCGCCTGCCCCCATGTCACTCCTGTCCCGGCCCAGCGATGGAGCACAGCTTTCAGATGCCCCACACTGCCATGGACCCTGAACCCCTCCAGAGATCGGGTCACCAGCGTGCCTCACCCTGCCCTCCTGTGAAGCTCAATGCATGCGTGCGTGCATGTGTGCCAGAGAGCGTGACGTCTGGGGAGCCCCATACCTAACTCGGCCTCCGTGGCAGCCTTCATGGGGGTGATGGGGGGATGGTCACCAGCGTCGTGGCCTTTCCGTGGGCGGTTGATGCCTGCTGCTAAGAGCCGCTTCACCTGCGGGGAGCCGGGGCGGAGCGAGCGTGAGCCAGGCACGGTCCCCGGCCCTTGCAGGGAGCGCCGCCGCCACCCTGGCTCAGCACTCAGGCCCAGCTCACCGTGTCAGCCCAGTAGGGGTGGTTGGCCTGCTGCCGCAGAGGCCCCTTCAGGTCGAAGCTCTCGGGGTAGTGGGTGGTCTCGGTGCGCGGGTAGCTGATGTAGCCCTGCGTGTAGAGCCGCTCGGCGGTCTGCATGGCGTGCTGTGGGCCCATTCCTGCCAGAGACACAGGCTCAGTGCTGAGACGCCGGGTGCCCCAGGCTGGGCGCTCAGGCTCTCGGGAGGCCAGTGCCCTAGGCCGCAGGCCCAGCCCAAGGCTGAGCTCCCCCAGCGGGGCAGGCGCGGGTGACCGGCGCGGCCCTCGAGACACAGCCGGCCCCTTGCCTGGCGGCAGCCACCCCTTCCTGTCAGCCAGGTAGCCTGTGCTTCCAGGTCACGAGGCCCTGGGAGAGGAAGAGCGCCCACGCTTACCCAGGGCAGAGCTGGCCACACGCAGCATCTCCACGGTGTTCAGGGCGAGTGGCCGCTGCTTGGCCTTCTCCTTCCTGCTCGTGGCCTCCACCTGGGGACGGGCCGGGGTCAGGGCGGGTGGGCAGGTGCTTGGGCGGGCGCGCGAGGAGCCGCCGAGGGTCTGACTCTCGTCTGCCCTCTGGGCTTCTTTAGCGCCCTTTACAGCGGCCCCACGACTCGAATGAACGTTTGTTCAGGCCCAAAAAAGGAAAATCAGAGAGAATTCTAGAGACGTTTTTTTCAGGAGAGAAGCTCTGGAGGAGAGGAGTCAGGAACAGGGGCTGCACGTGGGGGCCCAACGGGAGCCAGCACCCCTGCCCGCAGGGAAGGCGGGGGTCCTGGGGTGCGGGCCCCTTATGGTGCCCCCAAGCATTGCTACACCTCCTGATTTGTCAGGAAAAGCGGGAAGTCCGAACTTTTTCTGTGAAATCTCCTAACTCATAACTGTGGGTCACCGTGAGGAACTTCAGTGAACAGCTCCCACTCGCAGAAAAGCAGGGTGAGCAACCAGCTCAGCCTCTGGGCTAAACGGCTGTTGGAGAGGTGACCATCCTGTCTACAGCAGAAGCAATCCAGGCTTCTCAACCGCCACACTCCCCACTGCCAACCCCATGGGAACCCAGCCAGGGCCACACCCCGAGCTCTGGACNTGTGCCCACGGTGGGGCAGCGGTCCACGTCCCTGCCCTGGGCCTGGGGACCACGATGACGGTGGAGGCACTCAGCCGCCACACCCAAGCCCAGCAAGTCCCGGTGTGAACGGGAAAAGGTGGCAGACCTTGGCCTGCAGCACCCAGTAGGTCTCCGGTTTAAAGGATTGGATCTTGTCATGCCGCTCCACACAGAACCCCAGCGTGGGGGTCTGGCACGGCCCGAAGGAGATGAGCGAGCTGTCCAGGTTGCCGTATTTCCCCTGGAAGTACTTAGTCTGGAACCTGTGAAGGGGGTCGGAGAGATAAGGACACACCTATCAGGCGCGCACTTGCGTCGGTGTTGTTGTCGGGGGCAGGTGGGCGGGGCGGGAGGAAGGCGGGCGGGGCAGGTGGGCGTGGCGGGAGGAAGCCCTGCGCCCTGCTCCGAAAAGCAGGCGGAGGGCAGTGGCTTTGAGCTCCTCGCAAGTCCCACGCCCATTCTCACTGCGGCGGGGGCCCCGTGGTTGCTGTCTCAGGGACCGAGAAGGCGGCCAGTCTCCTGTCTCTGGTCGGGCCTGGGGGGACGGTGGGGGGGGCACCTCGTGAAGGCGCAGCCGATGCGGAGGTCCAGCTCCTGCCGCGCGTCCACCGAGAGCGCCTCGTTNGTGCCGGAGAAATCCTGCCCCAGCACTTCCTCACAAGCTTCCCACCAGACGACGGGACGCTCCCGGCCTGGGCAGAGCCGGCGGCCGCATGGACCTCCACCCCTTGGGGCCCTGGCCCCCAGTGTGGCGGCCCGCGGACCCCCAGCCCTCACCTCGAAGCAGATATTCTCGCCCTCCTTGTCGCAGTCCAGCCACAGCACGATGCAGTCACAGCCCCTGCCCTCCACCTGCGCACAGATACGCGTGTGCACTGCCTGGCAGCCCCACCACCACCCACGCAGAGCGTGCGCCCCGAGTCCCCCCAGGCCCCCCTCAGGAGCCCTGGAGCTAGGGCAGGAGTCACCGGCGGCTCAGCCTCTCAGCAAAGAATATAGTTCAGAACTGCTAGTTTTTAGACCAAGAAACATAATAAATGCATGAGATCTTAATCCCCAAAACTGCATCAAAAAAGAGAGACTGAACTGAAATGACTAGATGTTAAGGGCAGTTGTCTTAGATACTGAGATTACAGATAAATTTTTTCTTCCTCCTTATTTGTATTTTCTAACTTTTACCATGGGTTTGCATTATTTTTACTGTTCTTTATTTCTTAAAGTTTATGTTTTTACTTTTACTCCTGGGTGCACCGGGACCTCGCTGCTGTGCGTGGCTTTCTCGCTGCGGTGAGGGGGCTACTCTCCCGTCACAGTGCAGCAGGAAGCCCTGGCTCTGGGGCACTGGCTCAGCACTCGGGGCACACAGGCTTAGTTATATCGCAGCATGTGGGATCTCCCTGGACCAGGGACTGAACCCGCGTGCCCTGCACCAGCAGGCAGATTCTTAACCACCGGACTCCCAGGGAAGTCCACGTGTTTACATTTGTTTTAGAACCCACCACCACCAAACCATTTTAAAGCAGGAGGCTGGTCTGGGGGCTGAGTGACCGGGGCGCCCAGGCAGGCCGTGAAGGGGAAGCGTGGGCCCCAGGGAGCCCGGGACGCACCTGCAGGAACTTCACCATGTTCAGCTTGGGGTTGGCCTCCTTCTTCTCTGTTGGGGCCTGGCTGAACAGCTCAGCGGGGTCCACCTTGTCCCACTTGTTGTACTTTCCTGTGACACACGCCAGGACGTCAGGACCACACGTCACAGCTATGGGGCCCGGGACCCCGGACGGGGAGGCTCAGGGCAGGGCCTCCTTCGCTTAGGAGCTAGCCAGCTCTGGGCGGGCCTGTGGCAGGGGCACCGCTCCTGGAGGGCTGACTGCCCAGGCAAAAGGCATGCCGCTCACTCCGTGTCCTCCTTGGCCAGCGCCTGCACCCTCTCCCTGCTCAGCGCTTGGCTGGCCCTGACAAGCGCTCAGCAGATCCCAGGGGACCTTGGTATCCTCAGGCCCCTTGTCCCGTGCATTGCCCCCACTTCTCTACTTGAGGCTCGGGGTGCAGGGGGCATGGACGATCCTGGGAGGCGACGGCTCTGTCCTCAGACCTTTCACACGAAAGGAGCAGAGAAGCAGCTAGGCCCAGAGTTCCGGTCGGACCCACAGCAACTGCGGCCCTGGAGCCAACCCATGGGGTCACTGGCGCTGGCCTTTCGTTGCCATCCGCCGAGTGACTGCACACAACGGGCACGCTCGGCAGGCAGCGGCCCACTCCAGAACACCGCACAGGCCAGGCTCCCACTCAGGTGCGCGCTACCGCCTCCACGCTGCCCAGGAAGGTGACCGAGGGCCACTGCTGGGGCGAGGACTGCAGGGCAGCCCCACAGCCTGCTGGCCTCGGACTCACCGGTTCTGGACAAACCTCTCTGCCCCGAGCCCGCCCCGGGCTCCCTCTGGGCCGTGGGCAGCACGGGGCAGGGTTCCTCGGTGGAATGGGGGTGGGCCTCACCCAGGAAGTCCAGGGTCATCACGTGGCCGCAGACGGACGTCATCTTGAAGCGGACGGGCTGGCCCGCGAAGGTCCCGGGGTACTCGTACACCGAGCAGGTCCCGTTCAGCCCTTTGCGCGAGGACATGCTGCCTGCGGGGAGGCGGGCGGCCCTGACGAGCTTCCCCGAGGCCGGGCCCCCCACAGTGCTCAGAGACCGCCCGAGGGCTGCTCCAATTTCCGTGCTCACTCCTGAATTTGATTCCTGCCTCTCTCAGACCCTCCTCAGAAATGCCCCCGAGACGCCCTCACTGTCGACCCCAGGGTGACATCCTGACGACCCACGGAGGGCCCCTCTGCCGGTCTCTCTCAGCCTCGGGACCAGGCACGTCTGAGTCTCCCCTCCCTTCCAGACCACAACTTCTCAGCCTGCAGCTCCAGGGTCTCCTCTTCCTTCAGCCGCTAGGCCAAGGGGAGGTCAAGGCAGACGCCTGCCATCTCTGAGTCCCCAGCACCCAAGGACCCGGGCCAGGGTGGGCAAGGGCACTGTTATCGCTTCCCGGTGCCCTGGGGCCGCGGCTCAGCCTCGTGGCGCTCCAGAGTGGCATGAGGGGCGTGCGTGTAGCTGGGCATCCACTGGTGCAGATGCCCGGGCATGGCCTTGGCACACAGGCTGGGGCAGGGGGCCTTCCGGCAGACTTCCTGCCCAGGTTAGCAGGGCTGGCTTCTGCTGTTCAAGAGCAGCCACCTGCCTGCCGCACGCTCCCAGGCGTGCCTGGGGGAGACCCGGCTCACGCCGAGTGAGGAGGTAATCGCACCCATGGGGACCAAGTGACTCGGGGGCCGAGGGCTGCGTCCACGCCCACCGTCCCCAAACACTCGACTCCAGGGCCTGGGGCTGCTTCGGAAGAAGGCAGGCCTGACTGGCGGGGCAGGAAGGCCCACGCTCCCACACCACAGCCGCCGGATGCCGGAGCTGCCCTCCTACCTCGAGAGAGGATCCTGGCGATGGACTGGGCCAAGGACGGCTTCTCAGCCACCATGAGCACGGTCTTCATCGTGCCTTGGGCCGCCAGCACCCCACCTCACTCCGCTCTCAGGAAAGGGCTCAGACACCGCACTGAGGCAGCGTCACGCTGCTGCCACGCCGCCAACTGCTGAGACGAAAGACACGCAAAGAACAGCGAGGCTTCTGGCACAACCTGTCACTCTGAACGATCAAACACACCCGAGGCAGAAACAGAAACTCGGGGAGACCTGAAGGCCTCTCACAGACAACGGCCCAGAGCGGCTGAACCAGCTCCAGATGAGGGTCTCCTGTGAGAGAAGCTGAGGTGGCCCCACGACCCTAGGTGGATTTTGGCCCCAAATCTGCACTAGGAAGCTTGGGCGGGGGAGCCTTTGAGCCTGGCCCCCTCCAGTGGAGTGGTCTTTTACCCCCGGGGCCAAGAGCGGCCTCTCCACCGTGGCTGAGCTTCAGGGTGCCCTGCGCACCTTACCCAGGGCACATGCCCAGGCCAGGCGCCACGTCCTCCTGACACCAGACCAGCCAGGGGATCTAGCCTCCAGCAGAGCTTGCTTGGCCCTTCCCAACAGGCTCCGACCGAACCCCCTCCTGCCCCGCCCCGCCTCTGCAGGCCAGGCTCGAGCCAGTTAAGTAGAACACCGTGGTCTAAAGCAGGAATTACACAGCCCTGAGGATTTCCCACCTTGGTGACTGAATCAAACATCCAGGCAGTCAGGGAAAGGAGCCTTTCTGAGCTCCTCCTTTGCAGGCAGTGCTACGGCTGTAAACACCACTTCATTGACTCTTTAATGAGCAATTCTACAAGGCCTGCTTCCCCGGTGGCTCACCTGGTAAAGAATCTGCCCGCAATGCGGGAGACCTGGGTTCGATCCCTGGGTTGGGAAGATCCCCTTGAGAAGGAAAAGGCTACCCACTTCAGTATTCCGGCCTGGAGAATTCTATAGACTGTCTAGTCCACGGGGTCTCAAAGAGTCGGACACGACAGAGCGACTTTCACTTTTCACTTTCACTACAAGACCTTCATTGGAACTCTTTAAACTACGGGTAGACTGAGGTTGCACTCATCTCACACGCTAGGAAAGTAATGCTCAAAATTCTCCAAGCCAAGCTTCAGCAATATGTGAACCGTGAACTTCCATATGTTCAAGCTGGATTTAGAAAAGGCAGAGGAACCAGAGATCAAATTGCCAACATCCGCTGGATCATTGAAAAACCAAGA